TTGTAATCCTACCAGTAATGTGTAAGTGTTCTCTTCTCTGCATATCCATGCCAGTATCTGCAGTTTCAGGATTTTGTGATGAGGGTGAATCTCACTACACGTAGGTGATATCTCAGAGAGGTTTCAATTTGCATTTTGTGATGATTAGGGATGATGAGCTTTTTTTTCATGTGTTTGTTGGCCATTCATCTGTCATCTTCAAAGAAGTTTCTGTTCAAGTCTTTTCCCCAGTTATAAATGAGGTCATCTGCTCTTTTCTTGTTGATTAATATGAGTTCTCTGTAGATTCTCAGTATCAGCCCTTTGTCAGATTCATAGCATGCAAATATCTTCTCCCATTCTGAAGGCTGTCTGTTAGCTTTAGTTGTTGTACCCTTTAGCAGTACAGAAGCTTTTTAGCTTGATCATGTCCCATTTATTTATTTATTTTGGGTGTTGCTGCAATTGCCAAGAGGGTCTTCTTCACAAAATTTTTTCCCAGGCCAATTTTGTCAAGAGTTTTGCCTACACTTTCTTTTAGGATTTTTATTGTTTTGTGTCTTAAATTTAAATCTTTTATCCAGTGAGAGTTAATTTTTGTCAGTGGTGAAAAGTACAGTCCAATTTCAGTCTTCTACATGTGGCTATTGAGTTGTCTCAGCACCATTTATTAAAGAGGGACTCTTTTCCCCAGTATAGCACCTAGTTTTAAACAATGTTCAAAATTATGGTTCATGTAAACACTGGACCTATTTTCAAAATAAAACAGACACTATGGCTATCGTATAGCCATATATATATATGCATATATGTACAAGTATGTATATAGGATAATCTATAGCCTGTATTTTATAAAGGCAAAATTACATTTTATATCTTTTGTCTGATACTGAAAAAAATACAACCAAATTGAAATGAAATCATATTAACAGAGACCCAATTGCGAAAATAAACTGCAAGCCTTCAAAAACTGAATGTCTGTCACTTTTGATATTAAGTAATTCACAAAGAACTCTAAAGCTAAATCTTAACCAAAAAAGATGTGTCCATAGCACATTGATCAGTATGCCCTATACAGAAAACAAATCTACTTCCTGCTATAGAAAAAGGATTTTATATCATTAAGTATGAATAGGAATATATATATATATATATATATACCCCCACACACACACATTTATTTTTTTTGTTTGTCTGAGACAGAGTCTCACTATGTCACCCTGGATAAAGCGCTATGTCGTCACAGCTTACAGCAACTTCAAACTCTTGGGCTTAAGTGATTTTCTTGCCTCAGTCTCCCAAGTAGCTCGGACTACAGGTATTCGCCACAATGCCCGGCTACACACACACATTTAATTAATGTTCTGCTATGTAACACATTTTATCTATTTTGACACTATGAGATTACAATGATTATGGTATAATAATGATTGTGGTACTAAGTTAAAATTAATTTAAGAGTACATATTATGTTTATATTTCTTTTTTAGTTTTTTTGTTTTTCAAATTAATATGAGGGTACAATTTTTAGGTTACATTGTTCTCACATATTATTTTTATAATTTAACCTACATAAGAAATAATATAATACACAAAAGCGAAAAGACTGACTATAAAAACAATGTACTCAATTAGAATACATTAATATAAAAGGTTTCTAGGAGCCAGAACAGTGTGCCTGAGTAATGACCCCAGAAATAAAAGAAGTTACCTAAAGTTAGCTAGGTACTAGGTCATGTTTTATAAGACCATATTTGCATTATGCAAAATCCAAGCATCCCTTAAAGCAATGTTAATGCCACAGATACTTTGTAAATTTAGGAATGCCAAAGATAAGACCCTAAACCAAATGTTAAAGAAGATAGTATAAAGAGAGTCCAGTTTAAGCAGAAAGATATCATCCTGGAATGAAGCTATATATATCTGACAAACCTCTGCTTCAATTTAGCTTAGGGAACTCACCATTTTTAACCTTATTATGTATGGCAATTCTAAAAAAATTGTAAAAACTCTTAAGAGTGATTATATTGAACTATTTAATTAAACATAGAATTTTTACATATAATAACTCTTTAATCACTGCATATTTGGAGCAGAAGGGAACTGAAAGATGGCCCAGAAACAAAGGTGATCAAATGGTTTATTCGACCCTTTTCCTTCCAAGCTCAGGTCCATATATAGAACTTAACATTCTGATAAAAGCCAGTACAGTGAAAAGCAAGCAAACAGAAGAGCACAAATCTCTAACAAAAGAGGGAACATTTGATCCACTGCCCAGTTTCACAGCTCCAACCTTTCTTACATTGCTGGGAATGCCTCCCCATCTCCCTTTTGCCTGTACTAGAACCTAAAGAGTAGAAGAAAAAGGGAAGAGAGCAGAAGGGAAACAGAGAGTAAGGACAACATGCTGGAACTTCTCCCAATCAGAAGTAGGAGCTAGTGCAATCTAGTCGTTAGGCTCAGGAAATAAGTAGGAGAAGGGAGCCATACTATCTGTACCACAGTCAGGGAAAACGTCCATGCCCTCCATCTAGGAGCGTGTGAATATGAGCAGCAGAGGAAGAGATGAAAGAGCTACAAAGAAGACAAAGAAGAACAGGAAAAAGGACCCTTGAGATTCCTCTTCCCTTCAGAGGTCATGCTATTTCTGCTGTTGTAAATCTCTGACATCTCCAACAACTGTATTTGTTTCTCACATAATCCAGAAGAAAACATGCTAAGGAATCAGGACATATTAAAGGAAAAAAGCTATAAAGAGAAAGAAATAATAAATAGCAATTTGGTGAAAATCTAGATCAGACTTCATTTCTACGTCATGAGCTTTGATCTAATACATAAATTATTGCATACTTAGCCAGGCAACAGGTGAAATCAAGTTAGAGAATATTTCCTTTTCAAACTACATAGAAATGAGAGGCTTATCTCCAGAACATTTTTAGGAATAACACAAACTATTTTCAAAAGAAAGAATCCATTTTTTTCTTTTCTTTATATAATCTTTCATCTTGTTCTATGCCACAGTAAGAATATACAAGATAATAATCACCAGTTACCCTTCAAACCAGAGATAGAATTATCTCATTAACTCAACTATTAGGTACTGAATAGCTACTCTGTGCCAGGTACCATTTTAGGTGGAAATAATCCATTTTATAAAGAGAGAGGCCTTCTTACTCTAAAATTTACTCTTTCAAGGACGTCATTTTATCTCATTTATGTGAATAATTATCTCAATTTAAGATATGAGTTGGTTTCAGTACTTCCTAGTATTAGGAATACTTCTACACCTCCATTTCCTCCTCTGAAAATGAGGATAACATTACCTCATTTTACTCATTTATTGATAAAGATTACATGAAATAAAATACATAAAACTGATCCATAAACTATTAAGGCTTCTTAACATAAAATTCAAGATAAAATATTTAATAACAATGAAGTGAGTGTGTAAAATAGGGTAAAGAGGAAACCAAGTTAAAAAAAAAAAAGATAGGATGAATCTCGTATATATATCACGGCACTCTGCTTTCTAGGAAATAATACTTAACTAGAAAATTCACTGTTTATTGGCTAAAAGTAAACTAGCTATTCAGAAGACACAAAGGTATTTCTGTCCTTAACACATAAAAGAAATTTTTCCTTGAGGCGCTCATAAAGCAGACAGTATACAACATAAAGTAATGCTCTCAATAACATACTTGAGGTAAACACAGTATCTTTCACTAGATAGTTACATATCACTATAGCTAAAACACAGGAATAAATTCAAGCCTCAAATGAGAGGGACTTACTATACAGTAAGTTCTATGACTTAAGTTCTACTTAAGTTCTAGGACTTAATAAAAGGTTTCACATAGTAGATAACTGCCATCTTGAAAATCTTCACTGATACTTTCAAAGTATGATTCAATCTCTTATGAACCCAGCTACTGGTATATATATAAATACACGAGGCAAGTCAGTTTTAGGAGTACCTACATGAATCCTTTCACTTGCTGTTTACCACATAGAAAGTGGTACCGGCTAGTGTTTAAAACCAAGAAAACAGGAAGTAGATTTCTGTATTTGAATCCTACCTTTGTTCTGCAAAAGCTAAGGGGGTGAGTTTGGGCAAGTTACTTAATCACTTTTTGCCTCTGGAGTCTCCTATATAAAATGAATGACTTATGAATTTATATATATTCCAATAGCCTGACTCATACATTGAAGGCATCTGTGAAGAAAGGCAATTATTTGCTACATCAGACCTTTGATTAAGTCACAGAACTTTAGTAGAACTTATATAGCACTTACTATGATAAGTTCTGCTTATCTGGGGTTCAAATTTATTCCAATGTTTTAGCTATAATGTTACAGCTAAAATAATAGTGAAAATAATAATGCCTACCTCATTCCTATAGAAAAAATCAACTAAATTGCTATAAAAATTAGAGAAATTAATATAAAGGGCTTAGAATAATAGCTAGCTATTATTTGTGTGAAAAATGGAATTAGCACAAGTTAGTTAACTTACGTAGTTATTATTTAAACTAAAAAAGTCTACGTCAGCGTTTATTTACACTGATTTCCTTTAAATGAAAAGACTCTAAAAAAACGAATTCTGCATAAGTACCATGAACCTAGCCTTTTTGGGTGGTATGAAATATTGTACTTTAGCAATGGCTTTTTAATAAAAGATCATATATGTAGAAAAAGAAAAAGAAATGAAAAGAGTACACATATAGTACATGGATCATATACCTTTTACTTCCAGGACCTCTAAGCATTATTGCTTTTTTGGTGGTTATGTTCTTTACCTCCATTATACTGCCACAGAAATACACAGATGATACACCCCACTGAATCTGTTTTAGAAAAGCTGACTTTATTAGGTGAATGGGCTGAAAACTATTATAGAATAAAACATATATAATTGTTTTAAAACCTAGCCAAAGTCACAAGATTTATAGCAGTGAATTATACATCAACAAGAATCTACCTGGGTTCAAAATAACTGCATCTGACAGGCAATGCGTACTTACTTTCGTTGCAGCAGAAGGCAGTAATCGACTATGACAGGCACCATGTCCTGCAGAGGAACGACAAAGAAAGCATCAGCCCAACACTCCCGTCCAATGGCCTACTGATAACAAAAGATGTCTGCTTAGGTGTTAGCTTGTTGGGAGAATATAACATGGTAACACTTTGACCCAATAATTCCATTTCAGGAAACTTATCCTAAATACATTTAAGAAAAAGAAAAAATTTTAATGTATTGGGGTATTCACTGCAGCTTTATGACAAAAGAAGCAAAAAAAAAAAAAAAAACAGGAAATGGTAAAGAAGAAATTTTAATTAAACTGAATATACAACACAGGAAAATAGTTAAAACAAATTTAGCTATTTAAATAATATATATGCTTACTGCAAGTTTATAAAGAGTTTATGATAACATTAAAACAAATACTAGGTGAAAATATGTACTTATCTCTAATATTTATATAAAACTTGCAAAGAAAAAAAATACATCAAATTGATTAATAGGATATAGTTGGTCCTGTGGGTGGCTCAGGTGATTAAGGCTGTACATATTTTGTCACAATCCTCCAAAACAGCTATTTAGTTAAGACTGATTTAACTTCTCAGTTTCATAATATTTTGAATGCTTTAAATTCATTATGAATGGACTCACATCAAGTGAATGGCAACCCATAATTTTAGACTTTTTCAAAGAAAAGAGTTTAAGGGAGAAACAGTAGCTTAATATGACTTAAAACTATCAAGTAACCAAGCATCAGATTTTAGCAGTACTCTAATTTTCTGCTGGCTTTAGGGAAATGGTTTCCTTTTTAAGATCATAGAAGGGTTAGGTTCTAGGCAAAAAAAAAAAAAAAAAAAAAAAAAAACATAGAAGGTACAAAGCTGTGTGAAAAATAACACTACCTGCTGATATCTGACTTAAAACTATCAAGTAACCAAGCATCAGATTTTAGCAGTACTCTAATTTTCTGCTGGCTTTAGGGAAATGGTTTCCTTTTTAAGATCATAG